CCATCCCGACTCTGCGCCTCGACGGGGCAGAGTCCAGTGAGAAGCTCAACAGCAGCTTCCCGTCAGTACACTGCGGCTCTCGGTACCCTGACAACACCGGCTGCAGCAGCCCGAGGAGAGCCAGGCCGGTCTCCCTCACTGTCCCCAGCCAGACCGGAGGGAGCAGCAGGCAGTTTCACGGCAGCGCTGGCAGCCTGGTCGAAGCGGTAAGACTACAGAGTCACGAAGGCCATGAGCAGTGTCAAGGTCAACTAGAAACAAAAAGGGCAACAGATACGTTGCTGCTCGCAATGCTGAGAGTAGAAAAGGCCATCTCCACGCAGGGGTTAGCAGCGTGAATGGGGGGAGAAGGACCGTTGGGGAAAATAGAGCAGTAAAGAGGGTTGTGTTAGGGTGCGACAGGGCTGATGACGCAGAGTACTAACATATGCCTTTGTCTTTGGTTCCCTACCTGCTTTTCAAGGTCTTGATTTCGGAAGGACTGATGCAGTTTGCTCAAGATCCAAAGTTCATTGAGGTCACAACCCAGGAGCTCGCAGACGCCTGTGACATGACGATAGAAGAGATGGAAAATGCAGCTGACAACATTCTCAATGGTAACAGCAAGCAGAGCCCCAATGGCAACCTCTTGCCTTTTGTTAACTGCAGGGACCCAGGGCAGGACAGTGCAGGAGAGGAAGAGGAAGAGGTGCAGAACCCGGATTCTAGAAAAAGTCAGGAGGAGCTCAAGGACAGCAGGATTTATATCAGCAGCCTGTAGTTGCCAGGGCTGGAAGCGATGCTGGTTTTTTATTTGTTTCAATGTTCCTAATGGGTTTGTTTCAGAAGTGCCTCACTGTTCTCGTGACCTGGAGTAACCGGAACAGCGTTCTTCATTCATTTCTGTTGGGACGAGTCGCAGAGTTGGGTGGTGTAAGAAAGCTTTTCAGGAGCGGATATAACCCCAGCACGTGTCCATGAAGGAAGAGTGAGGAGGAGGAGGAGGAAGAGGAGGAGAGCCAGCTCCCTCTTTTTTTTCAGTCCCTGCACAAGGAACGACTACTGCCTCCCGAGCGCGAAGGGGAACCTCAGCTTCCTGTGGATGGCCCTAGCCAAAAGGACCCTGCGTCAAACGGGTGTCTTTCAACTTTGCTTGTAAAAATCATTTTGCACATATTCTGTATGAGCCTCACCGTCTCCATAAAGCCAAGGCCCTTTGATTCGGAAGGAGAGGAGGACTTCTTCTGCTGTGGATTCCCACACCGCGAAGGGGAGGAGGAAGCAGAAGAAGCCCGGGGGCGCCCGAGGGGCAGGTGGCAGCACTGCTCAACCCTGCCGAGACTCCCAGGCGGCGGTCTCTGCCAACCAATCCAAGCTCAGGCAGCCACTCCTGCCAACCAATCAGAGCTTGAGCAGTCACCTGCCAGCCAATCAGAGCTCAGGCAGTCTCCTGCCGACCAATCAGAGCTCAGACAGCCAGCCGTGCCAGCCAGTGGGAAAGCGGGGAGCAGGCTCTGCGGCGGGGCTGAGCCGACCTGCCCCGCACCTGCTGAGGTGGTGGTGGGCTTGTGTAGATCTCTCCTTGTTTTGCAGTTTGATATTTTCTTGAAAGCATGTTGCAGTTTTTATTTTGACTCTTTTATTATTATTTTTTTGGAGGGAGAAGGGAGTGTTTACAATGTTTTGTAATCACCTACCTTTTTGTTTTGGTTTATTTTCACCTTTGCAAATGTTAAATTGCTTTGATCATGTTGTATTATTTAAACTGGGGTTTTTTTCTCCATTGAAATTTGGTAGAAGTATAATGATAGACAAGTTTTACCAAACATTATGTACACCAAGGATTTGTAATTTTATTTGCTAGTAATTGAAACCTCCTTTTTTTGTTGTTGTTTTATAATTTAAAGATAGTAGGCAATGCACTTGATATAGTCTTGCACATTTGAGTGATTGATTTGGGTTCTTTTTAGTGCTAAGTATATCTGTGAGTGTGGGAGCAATACCGAGCGAGTGTGCGTGCGCGCGCGCGTGTGTGTAAGTGCATGCAGTTCTCCACGTCCTGGTTTGAGCTGCAGGAGATCTGTATCTGGGGCCATTTGAATGCAAAAACAAACCACTGTCTCTGCTTTTGAAAGGGGAATCAGTAACTCTTTGCATTTTCTGTTCCACAAGATATGCAAAAACAATGCAATAATATTAATTTTAAAATACAATTCTAAGTTGTGTTGGCATTAAAACTGTATAGAAAAAAATTGTGGGGGTGGGGGGAAATAAAAAAAAAACCAGAAGGAGTTACGCTTTGATATATTCTGTGTGATGTTTTATTGCATTGATAATGTTTCTGTTGAAGAAACTGTTATACTTGAATTCAGGTCAGTTTCAGTATTTTTCAAATATTTTTTTAAAATGAATTGCAATTGTGCCAAGCAAAGATAATGAATTGAATTAAGTTTGTTTAAAAAAAAAAAGAAAAAAAAGAATCACTTCTTGTATATTTTGCTGCATGTCAAGTGAATCATTTCGTATTTGGAATGTGCCAAGCTTTACCTTTGAACTTTTAAGTGCTTTTCTACGTGTGGTTGGGGAAAGGGGTACTATTTTTTTTCCTTTTTTAATTTGTACAATGAACAAAATGTACCTGGTGTAAGTAACTATTCTGCAATCCACTGACAGGTTGAACGTTACTGATTTTGCATATCTTGTGTTCATTTTCCTTCTTCCTCGCTCCCTTTAAACATGCACGATGACTTTATTGGTAGAGAATCTTTCTTCCCGAGACCGGGACATTTTATTCAGGCTTTGTTCTCTTTCCTTTTGCACAGTTTCTCTAAAGGTCTCGTCCCACTCGAGAGTGGCAAGACCCCCAAGCCCATTTGGCAGATCCATCCTACGCATTCAGCCGGCACCAGCAATTCAAGGAGCAGCGGAAGAAAAATCTGCTTCCAAATTTCTTTTTTTAAGTGGCTAACCCTGGTCGATTATAGCAGGATCCTGGGATAAGCAAATGCAAGAGGCAGAATCACTAGCAAAGCAAAATTATCTAACTCTGGTCTGGACTGACAGCAGAGGGTGAAGGAGAGAGCTCTGGATCGTTGCTTAGGAGGGTTCCTGCAGTCTGGTCAAGATGCAGATGTTAAGTGACTTTTTTGCATTTCTATGCACGGTTCACCCCTCTTCTCAGACTTTAGTGGATGGGTCAGATTCTGAGTCACAAAACATCTGGCGGCACAGCATGCCCCAGCCATATTTCCTTACTAGTGAGCGTGAACCTCTCTTGACCTTCCTCACACCAATACTTGGCCCTAACCCGTGAGAGAGGCTGAAAAACCAGGCAGGGATTGATAGATTTTATGCAACTGATTTTTGTCTAGACTACTGCTGTTTTTTCTCCCTTCTCAAGACAGTTCACAAACTTGCAGATCAGTGCTGAGCTAGGAGGTGTGATCTGACTCAGAGCTGAACTTTCATTCAAATCCTCAGCTTCTGCAGATGTCTGAGAACAACATTTATTGCATATGTTGATTACATTATTTTTGTAATGCCCTTGTTTTTCTTCTTGATTCTCTGGGGCATAAAGCAGGAATAGCAAAGGGCATTTTTGACAGTACACTTTTTTCAGTGTCATTTTGAACCAGGCAGTAGCAGCTCAAGATACCCTAAAAAAAATAAATCCTTTTAAACTGGAGAAATATGAGTCCATTTATACAATCATCTGGCATTGAAGTCCTAATTCAAGACTTCCCTGGAGAAAGTAACCAGCTGATGTCAGTCAGTCTCATCCTTTCCATCCCTCGTGCCTATATTGAGGCAGGCACACAAGTGTGTCTCCCTTTGAGAGTTTGCTGCTGCTAGCGTTGATGTGCTCCAGAGCTACTTGAAAGGAAATAATGCTGTGCCTGGCTGTTTCTGAAAATGAAGTCTGTGTAAGGGCTCCCTGTCTCATTTTCTTCCACTAGAAAGTCCATCTGACCCTCCCAGTGGGAGACAGAAGCGTTCTCTGCTCCTGAGAAACAAAGTACTGATCTAAATTAGTGGTGGCCATCGGCATTTTGGATGCTTGACAGCCCATGTCGTCTTAGGATTTTTCTTGATGGGAAGCAAAGTGGTGGAAAAGATTATGCCCCATGCATTCCCAGTGAAAGCTGTGACCCCCTCAAGGGTCAGAGCCTACAACGGCCAGGGGAAACCCCGCTCTCTGATGGAAGACCCCTTAGGTCCTGCAGAGTGGAAAACATGTGGCTAGCAGAGAATGCAGACGACTTCTGCGGTTTGAGGGGCAGGTGTTAAATTTAGTAATTGCTGGTGCCGGCTGTGCAAATTTCTCTTTCTGGGGAGGGCAGCACTTTTTTTTTTTTTTCATTTGAGGTACTTCCAATGTGCACATTGTGACAGGCCTGAGCAAAGAGCTACTGCCTCCTTCAGGTGAGGTGGAGTCTGGGGGACGGTGGAAAGGCAGGGGCAGGTTTAGCTCCTGGAGTGTCTTTCTTTCCCTGTGTATGGGAGCAGATGGTGGGTGCAATCACTGTGCTGTGGATGGAAGCTTTGAAGGAAGCAACGGCCAAGGAGTGGCATGGAAGGAAAGGAAAGAATGGGGGAAACAATCTGCTGTTTGCCACTGAGCATCTCTGACTTGCAAGAGTACACTGCAGACGAAAGACGTTTCTTATAAAACAACAAACCTCCTCCCTGTATCACTCCTGCTCATTATTCCAGGCAGTACTGGGCCAGCCACACCGGGTGCATTTCTTTTTTTCTTCCTTATTTCTGTGTGGCTGACGTGATGGGGAAGAAGGTGGAACTCATGATCCAGAGCTGGAGTTTCGTTATCCACTGACCTTTTCTGCATCATCTGCCTCTTCAGCTGGACATGTGAACGATGATGGTGTAGATGCTGCTGCTACTGCAGGGGTCCTGCCTGTTTTGTTACCCTGCCCACCACACCCCAGCGCGGAGGGACAGCCAGAGAGGCGCCATGTACAGAATCGCATCTATTTCTGCTTTGTTTTCTGACTCAGAACCCTGCCCCTGATGACTACGACAACGATGACAACAACAACAAAAAAAGGGCAAATGCATTTTTTACATTTCTTGATAATTTCCAAAGCAATGTATCATTGCTTTCTTTAGACTGACGCCAATATAACAGTTGTATGGGTCTCAGCCAGGCTCCTGTGTCTTTTCTGCCTGATAGTTTCAGATTGCTGTATGAAATGTATGCGCGTTTGCACACAGACACAATCGTACGAGGTGACGGCACCGCGAGCCCGTGGGGTTGTTCACCTGTGTCATAGATGAAGTTGGAGGCCTTGCTTCGTACGTGTAGATGAGAAAGCCCAACCCATCGGTCCAGTGAGCTGAAGTGAAGCAGCCCTACTGAGACAGAACATATATGCATGGTCCTGTTGTAACCATCCCCGTGGCAGGGGCAGGGTGGGGGAGAGGAACACTGAATGGGGAATTCAGAGCACAACAAAGTTGATAAAATAAGTAGAATCCAGTCGAGGGCTTCTGGTAGCGGTGAGATTTTACCAGTTCCCATAATGAAAACTGTAGTGCATATAAACAAAATACTCCAGGCCATCAGAAGCCTCAGTTCCCATCTTGCTAACACGAGGCTGGAGGGCACTGGAGGCCAAGGAGGTTGTATTGATGCAAGGAATGTGGAAAACAGAACTGGGCCCAGAAACAAATAATTATATCTTTCCTCCATTTATTTTCTTCTCCAAAGAAGTCTAAGAAGTACAAATTTCCACAGCTGCACAAGTTTTCGGGTTTTTTTCT